CCCCCCCCCCCCTCCGTACGTTTCCATCTCGTTCAATTGATTGTAATACTTCCATTTTTAATCTTAACTGTACGAGCATCATTTTTCTTTACTCCCAAAATGAATACAACCATACAATTTTATCCAACTGTGGAATAATAAATTTCTGTTGGAACGAAAAAGCTTATGCGCAAAAACCCTTTTCCAACAAAAACGGTGTCGCAAATGCGCAGCAGGAAGAAACGACCTACTCCACTCATTACATTCTGCTTCCCCTTACCTTCCTTGACCGTTTCAACTCCGAATAAATATTCAATCAAGTGGTTAGGTGGAAGACAGCCGCTACTAGACAAACCACCTTACATAAAACGAATCCGATTTGATGATTGTCTAAATGATATAAATGCAGGGCAGTCGTATCCTCAGTATATTTAAAGAAAATCTCTTTACAACAAATATCATACATTAAATTTGAATTAAAAGTTTTAATGAAAAGACATCAACTTAAATATGTCTCTTGTTCAAAAGAATAGACCCCAAATACGAACCATGTCAATAGGTCAACTAATACAGACAACCAGATCGCGAAAGAAAGAAGTTTTTGACTAAACAATAAGAAATTTTAAAAAAATATCTAAAAATTTCAAGCTACTCTGTCGGAGTTGCCTTTCTCCTATTGCGACCCCATTTAAATTAAGTCACCGTCACAATTACAATTACAAGTAAACCACTACGTCTATTTCCAAAAAGAGAATTATCTTTATCTGCAACGAACGCATAATATTTCTATTATAATAATGCAAATTGCATCCCACTAACCTTTCATCTATTAGTGAAATCCTTCAGCAAATAAAGCGCGGGAAATTTGAAGTTTCATTTTGGAAGAGCATTCGGATTCCTTTGATAAGAGTTTGAAACCTGTTGAGACTTCATGCAAACCCAGGCCAAAAAGCACACCAAAAAATCAAAATATCCTTTGAAATTCAAGAGCGCCGTGCCATTAAGATCGATCAAGAAATCTCAAGTTTGGTGAATATATATGCCTAGGGTTTAGGCCCTAGCGTTTTTGGCAGACTCCTATTTCCCTGTACATGAATCTTTCGGAATCAAGGGCCAAGAAATACAAGCATTGCGGCCAAAAACCAAGCCCAACGATTTTCGATAACTAGGGAACTGTAATGAACTGTAATTCTGAAGAATACTTGCCCGCACGCTTGATGACCGTTGTTGGGCGGGCACATCCGGTCGTAGCCTCTGGCCGTCAGAGGGTGAGGCCCTGAGACCGTGTGACGAAGAGTACACATCACGTCCAGAACAGTCCTTTCACGTAACGATTCCTACTTCACAGCTAAATACAGGACCACAGCCCTTGTTTACAGAGGAAGCTTCCTGCTGTTATTAAATCTGTCGCAGAGGATAATTCCATACATTTTTTTGCCGATAGGATACGAATCCCAGGCACTGTAGGCAGTATTACGCTTTACAATTACTTTCATTTAATTGCTCATGGAGGTCACAGGCTACAAACAGTGACATTATTGGGACGTGACCAGTTATTAAAAAAAATGTCATTAGCAGCCATGCACTTTGAAGAAGGTTCACGTAACCGATTTTGCAATAAGGGTAATTCTTGCACAGTATTTGGGCAACCTTGGCCCGGCCCTTCCGCCCACTATTCGAGACCACCGTGCGAAGTCTGACTGTGGGGAACTGATTGCGAGAATTTTGTGGACAGATCCGCCAACATTTGGAAGAAAAACTAAACTTTTTTGAGCGCTGCATTCCATACTTCGATTTTTCCATAGTGGCTGATGGCATTAGGTCACTGTTACACTTCCTGCCACATAAAATAAATATTTTTAATTAACTCGCGAACGCCCTTCTCAACGGGGCCCGTTACCATATATAAAAAGCTTCCTTTTATAAAGCAGGAGGTGTAACAATGACCTAATACCATCGGCCACAAAGTCTGTATGCTCTTAGCTATGGCCGTGCCGTCCCCGCATCCAACTCCACCCCAGCCACGTGAACGCTCAATGATCTTTCAAAGTTTTGAAGGAATCTTTGTCAGGTTGACCGAAAGTTCATCGGGAAATTCAAATGCAAGGAATAACCGTAATCATACAAAAATGTTCTTTTTCTTTCATTTAAAAAATGAAGACTTAACGCCCCGAAGTTATTTTTCGAGACATTGGGGGAAAGGTTAAAACCAGAGTGTTCCGGGAAAACCATGACGGACCCGTATTTTCCAAGAATCTAAACTCGCTCGCATCAACTTCCAACTGACACTTCTGCCCCCTCCCATACCCCCAACCTCGCTACGCAAAACGCGATATGAAACAATCGAATAATCCAGTCACCGTCACTTCCTTCCTCGCGCCGCGCAACTCATCAAGAGTGCGAAGTCTACCGCGCCCGCGACCTTCGTCTCATTGGACGTTCATCACTGGACGCGCCCGCTATCACCAGAGGATCGGCGCAACCGGCGGCGATAACGACTGCGCTGATGATTGCGCCCAGCGGGAGAAGCGCGCAATTCGCTGGCCGCTCACCGGGTCTTCCAGGAGACCGGCTGCACTGCCGTCACTTGCACGCAAAACTCGCCGTTTCTTTTGAATGAGAGACTTACTGATTTTTCTAAAATGATGTGCACTACAGTGATCTTGTTCTTCAACTTCCAAAATGTCACTTTTTTTTAATACATAAAAAATATTTAAGTTTTAGGTTCAAATAATCCAGGAGGTATTACAGAAGCGTTCTATAATTTCAATGAAGGAGAAATGGGCACAACGTGTCTTTTAGGTAATTTATTGAAGAACCTGCTATCCCTTTGTAGATATAGGACAGATTAATATTTTGTGACAAAAATTTTATTTTACACGATTTTGATGATTTATAACGCTTTGACATTTAATGCTTGTACGAGGAACACGGTACTAGACAGTCAAAGATTTTTACTTTCTCCCCATACTTCGTAAGGATAGTTTTGCGTAAGTAGTTTGTTTGTTTTTTTTTCACCCACGATTACAACAATTGTTTTGGCGGAAAACGCATTGTCGGACTTACGAAGGAAAAAAAGGATAAATCCCTCTTCCTTTATGTAGAAAAGGACTTTCTTTACACGTGGAATAGTCAGAATACAAGTTTTGTGGGTCCTTATTCCAACAAAGCGATTGACTGCAAAACAATTGTCAATGCTAATCTAAGGCTAATGTACCTACACCTTTCAGAACATTTCTTCATAATTGATATTCCCTGATCTATATGAAGGAACTCTCTCTCTCTCTCAAAGCTGGAGTTTGAAAAATATTTTAATTTTGTTAAAGATACTGAAAAAAATGTATTCCAACTTCCGGCTTAAACCATTTTCGAAAAGTTAACATTAAAGTAGATAGTTTTCTCGAAAACAGCTCCACTTTATGGATAGAACATCGGGCATGTATGTTTGCGTACGTGCAGTGTTTTTCTTACGAGTTCTTCGTACAGTTTAAACAGTCCTACTTTTTTGCTGCTCATTTATAATGAAAGTCATTTACCGTCTTACCTTTGGACTACATGTTCTCCTACATTTCTTACAACTTTCTCACATTAGCCACGAATCGTCCCATTGCATCGAGGTCTTCTCCGGCACTGCTTCCCACAATTAAAATTCTAGTTCATCCGTGACAATGCTGTTACCGCAAAATGCCGACGACGATTCTTTATAACAACGAATTTCACATTTTAACAAAATTACTCTGCCTTAAAATAGTTACTTCGTCGGGCTGGATAGCGAGTTCGGTAAGGCTGAAGGGACGCGAGTTCGAATCCCACCTCGGGCATGGACGTTTGTGTGCGTTCGTGTTGCCCTTACGTGTTCTTCGTACAGTTGAAACGCTCACAGAGGTCGCTGTATGACAAGTTGCTAAAAAGCGACCTAGTATGAAGTTTTAATAATTTTAACAGGTGGCCGCAGTCAACGCTGAAGCTTCGAAGAAAAATCTTTCTGAATGCTCCAATTAGACGGATCCGTTCGAAAGAAGGTCATTTATATAATTAGCGTGCCGAACTATTTATTAATCTCTTAAAACTAACCAAATTGGATAAAGGGACGGGAGAGACATTAACACGACTACCCAATCGACCCATTACATCGAGTTTCCGGCACCCCTTCCCACGATTAAAACGTGGTGACAATCCTATTGCAGCAAAATACCGAGGACGCTTCTTTATAACCAACTAATTTAACATTTTAGCAGGTATTTACTATGTGTTCAAATAGTTGATTTATTAATTTTAACACTTGTCCGCAGTCGACCCAGAAGCTTTGAATAAAAATATTTTTTTTAATATTCCAGTTCCGACGAAAGAAGCTTCTATACTTTCACTGGCTCACTATTGATGAACCACCTGGGAAACGCACTACGCACTTTGATAGTGACCTGCGCAAGACCGTCCCGCAGCGTAGCGTAGCGGAAAAGGAAAAAGCACTTACCTTCATCCGCCGGGAGAGGCGCTTCTTCTCCCAGGGCCGCTGGATGAGCAGGTAGACCGGGTAGGTGATGATGTCGCACACGAAGGCGATGGCCTTGATGGCGCCGAGGGTGCCGTCGATCCAGAAGCTCGTCATGGCGCAGCCGTCGTCCGTCCTGCCCCTACAGCACACCGCGGCGCGCCACGCGACACGACGAGTGAGTGAGTGAGCGGCGGCGACGGCGCGCGCGTGCCTTTATCGCCCCGCGCGCGGCCAAAGTTCCTCTCCCGGCCGCCGCGCGCGCCCCCTCCGCTCCCCCCCTCCATTCCCCACACGCGACAGGTGACGCGCGCCGAGCCTCGGGCCCCGCGCGGCGCGGCGCGAGACAATCGTCAGCGAGACCACGTAAATACAGTAGAAGCCCGCTAATCCCAAATCTCGGATCATAATGCGAACAAAATTCGGGATGGAGGAAAAATAAATAAAATGCTTATTTATAGTAATATAGAGCATAATAGTATAATAGATTTTTTGTTACTGTAGAATTGAACAACTAATTATTGAAACAAGTTGTCTAAATGAAAAGTTTATTGCATTGGTAACTATGGTGTATATTACACGTTTAGGGAGCATTAATTTTCACTTACAAGAACTTGCAAAATCGGCGATCTTTTGCCGTGCGGAACTGTATCTGCTTCATGATGTGATCGCTACGCTACGTTGCATTGTCTGTACAGATAAATGTGTATAAGCACGGTACATTTTTTCGGATATTCCGAACATTTCCGAATGCGAACAGACCACACTCCCAATTAGTTGGGATTACTGATGTTCTACTGTATAGTAAACCCTCAAACAGTACACAGTTAACACGAATTCCAATGGACCGAAATTATCAGTCTGTGTTATATATATTCGTGTTATCCGAGTATCGTAAACGTCCGGATGACTGTAATTATGATTATTGGTGAATGAAAAATATAAAGAATCATATGTGTAGACAACGTAAATAATTACGATTATGGAGCGGATTTTGCAATTTCTTGTCCGTTGCTTCAGTGCATAGCTCAGTGAAGTTTCTTGACACTTGGTTAGAATATAAAGCTATACAAATTAATATGTCAGTTATGTGTTAGTATAGCATATTCGTATAATTAAAATATTTTGCATATTTCATTAAAATAGACTTATCTATAAAACGTTTCAGATTTTCATAGAACCTATTTATTTGTGAGCGTTCATAGATTCGAGCTTGTCACAGTTTGCGTTTTTCTTCTTCTTTTCTATAGATGATAAAATATTTGTGCAAATGTACGATATTTCTGGATAACGTATTTTGTAAACCGGTCAGCCAAATACAACAATACTTACAATGTAAGGTGAATATTTACTTAATTATTTCTCTCGCGAAGAAAGGTAGATTATATTATGTTTACAAAAAAAAAATCTTTTCATTCCAAGCATGCTTTTCCTGAATTTTATTAAGAAAGATTTATGCAGGAAATGGATTGTTAATTTTAATTGCATATTTAAGAATTATTAGGTTATCGATGCATTATTTTAAAAGTCTACTTCAAGATTTTTAGGGCATCAAAAACCTCTCCTAATTACGATTACTGCTAAATAGAAAAGATAAATAATCAAATTTTTCAAAAATATTTCCAACAATCAATTTCACAGTGGTGGCCATATCATTACAGTACAGTTATTGAATGAGACAAAAATGCATTTGTACTCATACATCTTGATAAACTGTGTGCACAGGTTTCTAAGGCTTTAAAAACAATTCATCTTCATAATGAACACATGCTGCGAGTCGTATTAAAAATCAATTTTTAATCTTCTTTCAATTTCAGAGTATTTTTACCAGATACAAAATATGTTTTATGAGCTAGTTCGTGCGATCTTTTGCTCCGTTTCTCTCAACGAAATTAGATCGAACATATTCTAAGGGATTCATGACAGTTTCTTGCAGTCCATGCGGAGAATGATCAATTACTTATATTTTCCAACTTTCCTCCCTATTGAATCATGAAGGGTAGTCATACGTGAAAATGCACGAATTTTTTCAGAACCACTCACTTGTTTGGGGGGATTATTGGTTCTTTACGACCGATAGGTATTGGTCATGACCCATTACACCATTAACTAATGTAAACATTTCCAGTACCATTAACAAGCGTTACACTTCAAACAATTACCCTTTTCAGGTGCTTCCAAAAACACATTGTAATCTGTTAAGTTAAAGAAAAAATATTTACTATACTAATTTAGCCATCACGGTAATTTTCAAAGAATCAGCGATGATTCCTGTCATAAATTAATCATTTGTGTGTCTCTTTTGTAATCGCCTAGAGTATTAATCCACACTGCTTCAGCCAACACGTGATGTTTAGAATAACAGGTAATATGTGATAAAATAGGGATTCACACTGAGTGGGAACTTCGTAAAAGCATTGAAAAAAAAAGGTGTCTAGTAACGCGATTTAGTGCGTCAGTCGCATATTTCTATTTACACAATGCTATTACACATTACCTCTCTCCGAGTTTCGCACGCACATCTGAGTTGGCCACAATGTTCCGGTCTTCGCGAGTTACGTAACGCAACCTCCAGATTGTGTGCCGTACAATTCGCGACGCATTTTTATGACCACACAAGATCCCTCACACCTTTAGCCGGTAGCCTATAACTAATTTAAACATGCCGGGTGAATTCCGATTTCAATACACACAACTTTACCCACACCGCCTGACTAATGTGCAAATTGGCTAAAGGGCTACTCCTTAGTGATATTTCGAAATTTAATCGTAACATACACATTCTGACTACTTAAGTTTCGCACAATGATTACAAGCAAATAGCAGCAGTAAGGAGTTCAACTCTACCCACATCGACTAAGTACCAGAAAATAAGATGGAACGTAATACCAATGTGTTGGGGGGTATTCTGTGTGTGAGAATGGTAAAACGCGACGAGTACTGTAAATCGAGGCATTTGAATACACCTAGACATTGCGAGAGAAACACGTCTAAGCAGAGAAAAGTAGGAGCGCCATCGAGTCTGGTAGAAGTGTGATAAACACCGCCCCTAGCACGGAGGCTTTCGTGCGTTTCAGTCTCCCACGAAAGGAGAACGCAGGCGACGCCCGTTCTTCCGCCGCCGCGGGCCGCGCTCACCCCAAGGCCAGGGCCAGGGCCAGGGCCAGCACAGGGAACCCAAACACGTACGCTCATACATATAAAAACGCCTACAAATTAGTACCCGATCATAAAATGTCTTAAGCTAATGGAGCTACACTACGGAATATATTTTCCCGCATTCGCAACTTTCACAATTTTCCAAAATGATAACTGTGCCAGTTTTTGACTCTGATGGGAACATGATTTACTCTCACAACTAGTAGAAGTATTTGCCTCAGAGCCAGTCATTACCAATGACTCTTTTTAATCACGCAATTCATTAACTCTTGTTTTTTCCTACATCATCGTAATAAGTTTCCATTAAAAAAATTAACGGGAACTTCCCAAATTTTGTGAAAGTACTAAAATGAAGTTTTATTATATTGTTGCATAACGCTTGTCATACTATCTATAGGTAGCCAAAGGCAACATTCTTAAGCAATTAACACGAAAATCCATAAATTTCTTGAAATAAAATTAATTCAGTAATATGAACAAAGCAGGTGAATAAAAAATCCAAACATTACAATGAAAACAAAACAAGAGAACGAAAATTGGGGCTCCTGAGGTGAAGGTAGTGGAAAGGGCACCTTACTGATGACATAGTTTTCAGAAACGAAGCCCCTGCGCGATTGCTCGATTCCATTTCAATCTTGGAGTTACTTGATGTTCTGCAGGGCAAAGCGCGTAGAGTTGTACGTAGGCGACAGGCAGCACGCGATTGCCGCAGCCTGGCGACATCGGCCATGCCGCGCGGAAAAGCGGTTTCGGTTTCGGTTTCATTAGCCGCTTGCACCATCTCGCTACCGAAACCATTTCGTATGTCACTAGGCGAGTAAGACGATTTTTAGAGATGGGACGTTATTCCAAGAGTGCAAGAGGCATTGAAGGGTGTCAAGGCTGCATTACGATACTTAGACACGGAGGACAATACAGAATCATCGATAATATAGAAGAGAACGAATAAGGGGGAGAATACTAATATTAAGCCCTAAAATCCCTTTCAGGCAATGGCCTCCTACAAGTCACGTGATAGCTTGTTAGTAGTCAGAGACATTTCTCAATAACGACTTTAAATAATAATAATAATAATAATAATAATAATAATAATAATAATCGCGTGTGCAGCGAAGAACGGAAAACTAAAATGCAAATTGTGGATTGTTGCTAACATTGTGTTTACAAAAGCCATGCAAACTGACGCGAATCATGAAGGCCACGTCGACTCGACGGCGCTCTGTCGATGAGAGCAAAATCTATCCGGCCCAGCATCTCCCAAACGGGAATACCTAAGCCTCTATTTTATAAGGTGATAAAATAATTCGATCACCATTGACCCAGAGAGGCATAATATCACGCGGTAACTTCATCAAACATGAGAAATACATTTTCAGCTCCTGTCTACAAGCACTTGTGCACGTAAGTAGACTCCGATCAATGACCTCAAAGCGCTTCTCGGATCGATAAGCCTTATTCCACTCTTAGAATACTAAAGCAGGACAAAAGTCCGACAAAAGCAATAAACAAATATTATAACTGTCTCCTGGTAAGAAAAACGTGCTATAAAAAAACACAAATCAGATTAACATAAAACTAACAAGGAAGGCATGAATAAGGCTAAGAAGAAAACGTCTGCAAATTGTGAAAAGACTCCTGCTATAATACAAGGGAAAAAATCATTCCAAAAACGACTACATCGCCAAAACGAAGTCGATGGGATGAGTCATCGACGAGTGACGCATCTTCCATTTCAATGTGCGATAACGAAATTATCTAAGAATTCTTTATAGTATTTAATTTGCTTCAGTCATCCTCATTCGAATGAAATAGTTTCTTGTAAAAGGTGTACTCATTTGCCACATTTTCCCGCGCAGATTTTCTTGAAAGAAATTATGAAACTTTTGTGCAAAAGAAAATTATTCACAGAAAGAAAACCATTATCATTTTAAAGAATTTGAAATTAACCTATTGGTTACTTAGCAGTTCAATTTCCTATTGCCCCGCGAGGGGCTTCGTCCCCCGACGCGCGCGACACCGAACTTCTTGATAGAGTAAAAAAATATGAAAACGAACTCACATGTTCATTTTCGTCGTGCCAGGGACAATTTCTTTACGAGCTACCTGAAATAAAAAAGACGCGTTAGAAAAATTGCAGCAACTTCCGTTGAGGGCGACAGGCGCCTCTGGCTGTTGCGCAGCGCGGCCCCCACAGGGAGCGGACAATGGCCATCGGCAATGCGCAACGGGCATTTCGCGCGGCCGAGCGATTCACGTATTTACTTACGTCTAAAACAGTTAAAAACTGTCTGTGACGTGCTATGCGCACAAGTTAATTTGAAGTTACATTTATGTCCAGAAGAAAAACAAGGGTCCATCTCAGCATTTGCTCAAGGATGAGGGAAACTGGACGAAAACCTGATCGAGATGGCGGTCATTGACCCAAGCTGAAGTACAATACTTGTTACAGGTTACTTAGAATTATACAATCCAAATTGTAAATAATACATTATATGTCATAGTTAATATTAATTTCATTTTCGATGCTCAGTATAGTCTCTAATTGTAAAGAAACAGTTGTGCGGTAGAAAAGATTTTATTTAGGACTTAAACTTTTGTATCGAATTTAATCGTTTAATGTCATCTGGCAAGGTATTGTAAAATAATGTACATGTATTACACATGTATGCGAGTTTTTTGTAGTGAGCTATTGATACTATCACCTGATGATTACTATGTTGAGTATAGTAATAGACCAAGGAGTTTGCTCAAAATATATTCCCTCCCTTAAATATGTCATTTTTGACAAAAACTGTAATTCGCATATGAAGAAACAAGGTAATGTTAAAATATCTAAATTAATAAAGAGAGCTTGCTTATTATTCGTTAATCTAAACGTCTGGGAACTATAAGATTTATTTCCCGGAATATTATGCCAAATCGCAGGCGGCAATGAACATTCGCGAAATATTCACAACGAGCAATATGGAGGCTGACTTATTTGAACGAATTCTGAAAGCATAGCATAAAGATCTTAATCTAGCGCTCAATGCATTTAAATGCATATCGTTTACGTGTAGTAGGAAAAGACTAGAGCCTAAAATCAATCCTTGCGGGACTTCGCATGGAATTGGCAAAGAATCCGAAAGGGGTGTACATTATGTTCCAGTATTCCAGTAAGGGATTTCTACTCTTTGAGATGGTTGTTTAAGGCACGAACATAACCAATCTAGAGAAAAACCACGAATGCCACACGAAGATATTTTTGAAAGTGAAATGTTCAAAAATGATCAATGACATCAAAAGCTTTTGAAAGATCTAAAAATATTCCAATAGGTGCTGATCCACGGATGAGGCAACATCTTTAAGGACATAAAATATGATTGTTTCCGTAGATTTTGATTTTCGAAACCCATGATGGCAATCTGAAAATGTATCGTGTTTACTAAAAAATGTTTCCATTCGTACGTAAAAGAGAGTAATATTTTTGGAAAAACAAAAACAAAAGAGAAATTGGCCAATAATTTTGAATTTCATTTTTATTTTCTCTTTTGAAAAGCGGCTTAATCTTAGCAGTTTTAAAACATCTGAAAAAAGTTCTATGCATAAGGATACATTAAATATGGGAGTTAACGTAAGTATAATGGCGGGCGTAGAAGTCTTTAACAAACAATACGGAAATTCATCTTAATCGGCCGAATATTTATTGTTTGGTCCACCGATTATTTTGAGAATTTCATAGGAAGATGTACGAATATCATCCCAGCGTTCTCCAAAGCCTCTTCTCGAAGGTTAAGAACTGCTGGTGAGGCAAAAATGTCGACTCTTATGATCGACCGGGTGACTGCTGAGCCGATCTCTCATCGGCAGGTCGCGGTTTCGAATCCTGATTGCGCAAGGTTGGCTTCCGCGTGTTGTGGCTGTTGGAGCACGCGCTACACCTCCCAGTACCTGCCCTCCCGAAGATGACAGTGGGGGAAGAGAAACCAGGTTGAGTTCTGTAGGTGACACAGCAGCGCTGCTTCCTCTGGCTACTTAAGTACTTCCTCGGGCTTCGCTATTAAATATTAGCAATTACGCACCAAAAAAGTACCCGCGGGTAAGATGGTATAAAGTTGCCCTAAACTGAATAACCAGTTACATGTCTAACATAAAAATAAAATTTTTGGAAGATTTCTTGTCCCCCATCCCACCACCCACGCCCCTCTAGAGTCAAAAACCTGTTTAATTTTTTCCCCTTAACACTTACTTTATCTGGTTGAAAAAATGTGATAAGAAAATAATTTATACTATCACAAAAACACTTTTATATTTTCTTAACGCAAAAAAAGAAAGTTTCGGTTTTGACTGAAAAAGCAAAAAAATGATTGTTTTATTATGCCAGTCCTCATACTGCACGGACCGATTGAATTCTTACATTCAGGGCGTCATTGACACAACTGACCAAGGAAGACAGTAAATTATAGGTATTCAGGAGCCGAGTTAATGTAACTTTTTGATATTCTTGGTATGTAAAGAATACTATTGTACACTGTGCATTTACTACACTATGTTATTGCAGAAGACGTGTTTGATAAAATGAAATGGTAAAACCAGAACGATATAAGTGTCATTTTATAAATTCAGATAAAACTGTTTAAGTCAATATCACTGTAAAATCGTGGTACTTTGTTTAACCATTAAACCGCGTCATTTCAATTGTTCATTAAAACCACGAAAATACAATGTCACTAAAATATACCCTAAAATAAACATCTTTTCTCAGGAATTATAAAATGCCACTTATACCGTTCTGGTTTTCACACAATCAAATATTCAATTTATGAGAACGTTTTTCGAAAGTATTTTATTTGTTGTTCTTGAGAAGCGTTATGCTGCTGCAGTCCTCTAGTTTTCATCTATTTTCGAAGTAACAACATTATGAAAAATACCGCCGGAAGAGAACATTGAGAATGATCGAGAGCTTTTAACTCTACTGTGGGTTGGATTGTTCGTTAGCAAGAAACGTTCACACTGTTGATGTATTAATTGCCCTAACTCTCTTTTTACTACCCTAGAATCTAACGGTCTCTTATCCGAGAATGACGCGACAGTAGTGTCGGTCTGTGTAACAAGTGTTAAAAAGACCGGCCGGCACCAAATGTGACCTGCCAGCAGCGAGGCGGCGGCGGCTCTAGTGCGTAGTTGGCAGCCTTGCTCCCACGCAAAGGACACGGCGCGAAGGTGGCGCCTCAAGGGGCGCGGCCAGCATCCACTCTCCGCCCCAACAGAAATGTCTAATAAGCATCCAGATGGCATGCCTCCCACTGTACTGAATGCGGTGAAGGACCACAGCAGAAGCTCAAGAGCCCGTCCGGAATCGAGGTGCAAAGCTTCAGTTTGGAATCGGTGCATCCGTAAAGGACTATTTCAAAAGCTGAAGAGTTACGACGTTAAATTGTGTATAGTGGACCTGTGATGGCCGCCGCTTGCGATCCGTTTGATTCCGAGCAAAAACTGAATAAACAATAATGTAATACCCCCAACGAACATTGTGAAATTGCCTATCGGACAATGCGTTGTAAAACACGACAGGTGGGTCTTGTGTGGCGTGCCGTCCTGACGTTTCTTGCTTGCACTGCAGATAAGAGTAATCTCTTGGAATTTACAATTTAAACGTTGTGACGTCTGGATTGTCAGATGATACTTATACTCGTACATTCATTCACTTGTATATGGGCGGTTGGTTAATGTATTCCTAATGTAATATGACAAAACTACAATAAGTGTCTCAATCAATTTTTCCTCTTGAGCTTCTCGAGCTGAAATTGTTTAATCTCTGCGCAATTGATAATTTAAGATGCACATTAAAATTCATCGGAAACAAGTCTTCAATACAGAGATAACTTTAAATATAATGGACAGGTCTCAGGAGATTTATCTCGCTACTCTGTATACACTCCATTCCACCGTTTGCTGACAGTCCGTTTGCCCGATTACGCATGGCTTACTTCTATTTATCGATTACTTTTATTTTCATTTACGGTCAGTGACTGATCTGGAGTATTAACAGTCTTTGCTATTTTCCCTTGTTCTGCAAAAGATTCATCATATCATGCAGCCAGAGGAGTGGCTCGCATAAAGAATTACAGCCATCTCCAGCACCCGCAAAAAACAATCCTCCTCAGGAATCGTTATTTCAAACTAATTCAAGTGAGCAAAAGTGAGGGGATGCACAAAGTTGAACACTTGAACTTTCCACATCAAGAGAGGAAACCTTTGTAGAGAAAATCAGCTGATAAAGATGGAAGGTGCATTTTGCAGCAACTTCAAAACAGGTTTTTGCGATTTTCTTTATGAAGCTGACCTTTCTTTACAAAGCTTCGACACGTGCTCTGATTCGCTGCGTCCAGAGACCCAACTTACACCTTCACCTTATGTACATTTTTTAAACGTTAAAAAACTTTTTAAACGTCATACTTTAGTAATGAAATTGTCTACTTGTGAGAACCCTACATATTATAATGGACGAAACGCCTATTTCATAAATTTAATATCGCGCGTAAAATGATTTTCGACGTTCCTGAAGATTGGAGGCATTGGATTTTCCATTGTCTTCCTCTCCCACACGATAGGCAAGTTCAAAGAGCAGTAATCATTACAGGGTTGTCGGTAAGTTTTCAACCCTTTCAAGACGTTTAGACTGGATTTGCAACATCAAAAAACAAAACAAACGAGCTTGAGCAACATCACGAGCCCTGTCTAACTCCGGCCGTTTGTCTAATTTTTAGAATGTGATAAAACATTCAAAGGGTAAGGGACAAGGTTCAGATAATAATGCCACTTTGTTCTTCTGTAATCTTTGTGTTTCGTGAAGATTATGATCGCAACATGAAGCTGTCTGCACTTTGCCAGATAATGAATTCTCATTCATCAGCTGAATGCCTGGCCTGTGACCATTCAAAAGTCTGCAAAGATCGCCTCTTTTAAAACTAATGTCATCGTAACAGAAATTTCAGGGTGCAGTAGTTTCAACCACTCATCAGAAGCATTGGCAAGACACAACCATTCCTACAAATTGTGCTGAACAAATACCTGGCTGCAAAGTTTAATGGAACACTTTTGATATAGTAAGGATCAGGACT